TGGTCTTTCTCGTCCAATTCCCTGAGTATCTTTAACTGCCCAAAAAGGTTTTAAGTGTTACCTGGCTGATAAGTCGCTAGCAGCAAGCCGTTCGTTCCTCTGTGAGCACCATTTGAAAGAAAGCTAATGTATATTAATGGGGCCAATAAAAGCAACTAATTGAGCATTCCAGGTCTTGCTGAGTCGGGCATCTGTGTGTGACATTGTGCAGCTCCAGGACCTCCACCAGACTACCTTTATTAGCTCTCTGAACTGGGATGTAGGTCAGGCCATTAAAAGCAGGAAGGGGCTCTCCCACTAAGTATCGTTGGGATGGCCCTCATATTCGACGCCCCAAATCTGCGATGTGCTCCAGACACGTTTGGAGTCAATACTCGGGGTAAACACATCCAGTATAAGAAATTGAAAAAAGTTAATCCTCGCTTAAAATGATTTCATTGAGCGCAATAAACTGCAACCATATGCCTCCCATTAAAAAAAAAAAAAAAAATCAGTTTATGCTTTACATGCTGTGTTGATGCTGTATTTGTTTTTAAACATAGCTTGGCATTTAGATTGGGGCTGAACAGTCAATCAAACTTAAATCGACATTGAGATTTTGTAAAATGCAATTTTCAATTAGCAAAGGCTGCAATTTAGGGGGGAAAAAACGATTCATTTTAGTTGGTCGTGGGCTTAGGTTGGGAATCACAATTAGACAGTTTCAACCCGAGTTTATATTACATTGTATTCAAGATCCTTACATTGCTTGGACTGTTATTAATATGTACATCACCAAAATCAAAATGGAAATAAGAGTCATGCGCATAGCAAGTGCCTGCTGTGCATCACACTGAACAGCAGCGCAATAGAACAGTAAATACCCATCAACAATGGGGCAGCACACAAATATCGCACATTGTTCTTAATATATAATTGCTCTTTTTGTAAAGAGACTCTTAAATACATTTTCGACTGCAGATGGAAACACAGCAATCTCCTAATCTACTATCCAGCGCGCGTCATATATCTGTCAATCAAATACGTTCCCCATATGTCGCCTTAACAACCTTCTGCTAAAACCGGCGTGTATATCTTTGCTCTGCACGCCATAAAAACAGACAACGGCACATCCCCGTAATGGCGCCCACTACGAGGTCAAGAAGATTCCTCGGAAGGGCCGTGTTGTTTTCTTATTCTGTCATCAGCTTTTACTGAAGTGTCATAAGGCGTTTTGATTGTAAATCTCGGTGACCTTGAAGACACCGGAGAAAGCGCCGCTCCGTAAACCAATCATCGCACAGCTGCCCCTGTCAGCCACGCTTGTGTTCACACAGTCACTGTCTGCGTTTCCTGATGTTGAGCAGAGGAAGGGAGGAGGAGCTCTTCTCACGTTTAGGGTAGGGGGGCTTCAGTACATAGCGTGCTTTTAAAAGCGGCTATTCTGTCATTAGAAATTCTTTTAATTGCCATCAGTTCATATTGCCACTGATTTAAATACTGTACACGCAAATGGATGTACAGTATTTGAGCTTTAGATTGAAGAATGAAAAAAAAATCGTCAGGTTCTGTTTACAACAAAATACAATAAATGCCATTTAAAAGGTTTGGAATTTGCCTTTAGATGGCAATAAAGCAAAATAAAACACCTCAAATAACTTTCAGCGTATTTCCTTGACACCAAGATGCTACCAGATGGCGCTATGGTAACACCGGTCTGAGTACTAAAGCAGCAAATAGGTGAGTTTTTCACAAATACAAGACAATAAGCCCCCCCCCCCCAAAATTTGCAAATAGGGGCAAACCAAAACACAATGTCTTGCTTGAATTATAACTGAGTATTAGTAAAAAAATACTTTTCAAATATGATTTGCTGTTATGTGCTAAAATTTTATTGTGATGCTTACTGGTGTTGTTTCAGTTGGAGCTAATTTTTTCCCTTTTCCTTAGCAACTACCATACTTTAGCAAATAATTGTTCTGGAGCAGCAGAACCATACATCGATAGATAAATAGAGATACACAAATTTTTAAAGACTTGTCCGCAAAGAAGACAGCACAAAGCAAAGCAGCGATGCCAAGTTACTAATATTAAAAATAAAGTAAAACACCAGCCAAATAAAACAGGTCTCCC